TCCTCTACAGTGTATAAATACCACAATTTTATTATATCTGTGTTTATAATAGCAGAACTCATAAATCTTTGAAGCAGTGTCTATATCCATCAACAAATGAATGGATAAGTATAGCATTTCAGGTTATAATTTAAATAAATTTTGAAAAACTGCAGTCTTAACTAATGTTTAACACCTTTAATTTTCAAACTTTTGATGCATGATTTAAGACCAGTTTAAAATCAATACAAGTTTTAAAGTATAAAGTATTTACATGATTTAGTATGTACTGAAACCCCTGCTGAGGGTATCCATCTAACCCACCCAGCAATATGGCACATGGATACAAAAAAGGAGAGAGAGAGAGAGAGAGAGAGAGAGAGGGAGGGAGGGAGAGAATATTCTGCAGTTGAGGAGCTATGGGATGACCCATTGTTCTCTGTGGAACAAAAGGCCTCATCTCCAAAAACTCATGGCTTTTATTGGTGTCGGTCAAGGAGGCAGGTGCAGGGCTGTGGCAGAGTGCATAGAGAAAGGAGGCTTTGTAGCTGTATCAGGCACAGAGGCCTCCAAAGCAAAATGAACACCCAGCCGGGGCAAACATGAATTCCTGTGGTTCTATGTCCAGCAGCTGGGGCAAGATGTGGTGAGATACGAACTCCAAAGGGTATGGGAAGCCCCATACCTATGGCACTGCAAATGGCTGCGGATATGGCTTCTGTCTTGTGCTGGCTTTGCTCACTCTGTGGCTTCCCTCAGATGTTCATGTTCCAGGTTCTTTCTGGCAAAACTGAAGTTTAAAATCACTTAGCTGTACTTTTTGCTCATGATTCTCAATGTAGAGCTAGCTAACAGTACCCATGTCACAGCCTGAATGCTGGGCTACCTTGAAATTTTCTTTAGCAAGTTAGTCTGCCACTCTTACTCTCAGACTCCTGCAAAGTCTCAGGACATGAGCAAAAGGTAGACAAACTTTCTGCCACAGCATAACACACCTGGCTTGGAGTCAAACTGCCAGTGGAGTCCTCATTTCCAATGGAAAATTCCCGAGATCGACCTTTAACATCTGCACTTCTGTCAGGATTTTGGTTTTCTGAGCTCTGACCAGAATCCCTGGGTTCACAATTTTATAGGCAGCTAAGGTAGGTAGAAATATTATGGGTAGTCAGATAGGGCTAGGCCCTCACAGGAGCCAGTGCAGAAGACAAGATACCTTACAACTGTGGGAGAGACAGGCACCTCTGTTGTGGCCCAGACCTCAAGAAAAAGCTAAAAATGTACCTAAGGATACACCTACTTCCTAAGAATGAACATCAGGGGTTGATATTCTAAATAGGTACTGATCACCATGAGAAAGCCACTAACCCAACCCCCTTCAGGAGAAGCCCCTGTTCTATATTCATGCCTGCTTGCTACATGACTTGCTTCCCCATTTGATCCTGTTTCATCAGTTTGACCTGAGAAATTATAACCTTACTGGCGGACCATAGCTTTGTCCCACCTCATGCCCACCTTGCAAGTTCCCATTTATCCCACCTTGGATCTGACTCATGTCATAGATTTGCTCTATAAAAACCCCTAGAAAAGGCCCGGTCCTTGGCAACCCATTCAGGACCCCTTCTATCTCTCTCTCAGACAGAAACTTTCTTTTCCCCAATAAATATATCTGCTCTTAACCTCAGCTGTTCCTCAAATTCATTCTTTGATTTTAGAGAACACAAACTCATACCAGATATCTAGCAGGTTGGGAATTTCTTTTCCCTAAATCAACAGCATTCTAGGGCGGCTTCTCTATCAGACATCTCCAAACCTTTCCTGTGGTCTGTGCAAACTGCTAAAAGCTTCTGAACCACATGGTCAGGTAGCATCACGGCAACAACACCACACTTGGTACCAAAATCTATTTTAGTCACTTGCTTCACTCTGGGACACAATGCCCAACACGTGTAAAATAAAGGAGGAGAGGTTCATTTTGGCTTACAGTTTGTAGCGGTTATAGTCCATAGTCAGTTGACTCCCAGGTAGGATGGCATGGCAGAGGAAAGCTGCTCATAACATAGCGGTAGGAAAGCAGACAGAAGAGTGAAGGGAGGAGCCGGGAAGTGTTTTCATATCAGAGAGAGACTATGTGATATTTATCTTCTGCGTCTAACTTATTTCATTTAAAAAGACCCAATTAAAAAGCAAGCAACTGAAATGAATACAGACTTCTCAAAAGAAGAACAAATGTCCCATAAGTACATGAAAAATGTTCAGCGTCTTTGGTCATTAAAATGCAAACCAAAACAACACTGAGAATCCATCTTACTTTAGTAAGAATAGCTACTATCAAGGATGCAAAAACAACAAACACTTGAGGGTGTGGGAGGAAAAGGATTCCTTTTACACTGTTGGTGGGAATGTAAACTGGTACAACCACTATGGGAATCAGTACAAGATTCCTCAAACTAAGATTTTAAAAATCAGATTTATTAAGATACTTTATGTAGAATAAACCTGTCATATTCAAGAGTTTGTAGGTTTCTGACACAGTTGTTCCACCCCTACCATGCAGGACACTGTGTTGGTTTGGGGCTTATTTTGCAAGGGGAACAATATAATACAGGACACATACTTTATATGATTATTTATAAGTCACCCAAAGA